GCATAAGAAACATTCGAAGATTGACAATAATTCTTTGCAAGAAATAAAACTACCACTAAGTAAAGATTAATTATTTCATCCTCTCTCCCTGTGGGTGCTGCATATGTGTATAAATGTCATATTCTAGTACAGAAGCAAGAAATTAACCTGTGTTTAATTTGCAGATATTCCCTGTATAATAACCTGCTTTACTCAATCTAAAAAGCAAGGATTTTTAAAATAGGTTCAACCATTTTGATGATCTAAAGAGAATTCAAAAAGCCAGATAATTTGGATTTTCTATGTTATCTTGCTTTGTGTTCTATCTTGCATTAAGAAGCTGATGAAATTTGTTGCATCCTTCTATAATTGGAATGGTGGAAATTCTTTAATTTATGACATAAATGAGGCTAGGCAAAATGTTTTTCTAGCCTATTCTTCTAAATATATTTCCACTGACTACATTGTTTCCATTCTCAGTAAGCACTGTGAAAACAAAGATGGATTAAAGTAGGTAAGAAGTGGTTCGAAGGATTCTCTCACATGAAATGCTGAGGAACAATGTTTAATAAATCCAGTTAAAATGTTGTAAACATACAATGGTGAGGAGTTGCTTTCTACTGAACTTGGCAAATTTGTACAGTGAAATTGTTTTTTCATGTTATTTTGGCAGAAAAAGGCCAAGCAATTATTGTCATTTTGAAAAATCTGAAATCACAGAAGAGTCATTTTCTTCCTAAATAAAATGTCATTTTACAGAAAGGTGTATCTTGGAAACTGTTTGCTGACTGTCTCATTTGCCTAACTAGCATATTTAAGGATGAATGTAACTAGGTGCAGTCATAAATAAGATCTCCTCATTTTTTTTGGATTGGCATTCAATTGTTTGCAGACATGGGGAGAAACCGATTATTTACTTCTTCTCAGGCTACCATTTGTATTTTGTATTTTTTATCTAACTGCTCCATCTTGTATAGCAAAAAAGATAGATAAATTATCAAACAGAATATGAAACATGAACTACTGTGCAGCTCAACAAGTAAATCTAAGTACCTCTCACATAACCCTCCTAAAGATACAGAGTCCTACCCAGACCAGCAAACCCCATGCTTGCACTGCTAGAAGCAGTTATGAAGCTCATATGAAGGAACGGGAACATCAAAACATTCAAGAGGAGAACTGACTGCAGAAGTGATAGTGGGAGAAAGATGATGGAAAAACACAGGGGATGAATCTTACAGTAACAAGGGGGAGCTAATGGGAGAAGGTGCAGGCACTGACCTTCACAGTCAGTGACCTTCTAACAAGAACAAGATCCAGTTGTCTACCAGAGCCCTTTTAACATCAAGAGTCTGTATCACAGTCAGAAGTTCTTAGACTCCATGTTAATCAAGACCAGGAGCTGCAGTCCTAAGAATCTGGAAACATGGAATACAAACATGGCAAGAAAAGGGGCAAGTCTGGACACATAGAATCCATTTCAGTAGCTTGCAGTTGCTGCTTCTGCCTCAAGTTTACTTTGGCTTTTGAATTTAATGCGGTACACAAGATTACAGATAGGTACCCAGGGATCAGGACAGAGGATGACATAATTGTAGGTATTTCTTCAGCAGTGGTCTTTACCTCGTGCATGTTATGAAAGAAGGGTGAGGCCCGGCAAAAATATTTAATTTGTGGTGGCACTGTTCACTGCTTGAAAGTGACCTGAAACCATCTTAGTTGGTGAGCGGTTACCTGCAAGTTACTGACTTGTTTTACTCTTTCTATGGCTAGCAGCCAAACATCGCTCAGGATGCTAATTCAGAACGCTCCCCGCAGGACTGAACTGGGAGCCCTGAAAGAAATCCTTCACCATGCCCTGCTTCCCGTTTCCTGCCTTCCCTCAGAGATATTGGCTGTGGCCCATCATTAAATCCAGAAGATCTGTGATGGGGAAATGAATAGTGGATTTTTTTTTTCCCAAGCATGTAATTTTCTTAACTTATGGTTTCAGTGCTCTATATGAATTTAAAAGATGCCTTGGGATCTGAGTCATTTTAACAGTGCCTCGGGATTTCAGCAATTTTAACAGTGCTTTGGTATTTCTTTCTGATGCTAGTATATTACTTGAGGATTAGCCCTTTAAGTATTTCTACATATGGATAACTAAGAACATGTTTGCCTGGTGTTGGCAACTTCAGTAGTTCATTATGGCATGAATCTATATCAAATCCAGATGTTTGGTCCAACACCTGTCATGAAGGACGTCCGTCATTAAAATATTATTTTGCAAGAGACAATATAACTAGGGTCTGTTTATGTATGATGCCGATTGTTGCTCGGAGAGAAAGGGAAAGAGAATGAATTAATAAAAATTTACCTCACTTTGAACTGTTATATTACCGAGATTCTTAACCCAGGTGGACTGTACTGTAGGAGAAACAAGACTTTTTATAAAGGCTGTGTTGGCTGAACAACTGCAAGTAAAAAGGAGACAGGAGATCAGTGTGACATGGAAGTGAACACGGCACTGAGGAGCGTGGAGGTTGCTGCCCTGAACACTATGAACTGGGAAGTCACCATCTGGCAGAGACAGTAAGTGAAGCTTGCAAGAGTGACTGCAGGTAACAAGTGGAAAAGCACCTGTGACCTATGTGACTTGTCCTATGACTGGAGGGTCACACAGCAAGCAAAATGAGCAACAAAAGTAGCATAAGCATATGTTGAACTTGAGAAGCTCTGAACTGATTCAGGATCTGGGCACAACAGCCAGGTAACGGAGCCAGGACGGGGCGGGCAGGGGAGGATTCCCAGAGCAAGCAGGTAAATACTGGGAGAGTGGTTAGCGGATCCCAAGAGGGAAGAGGAGAGCCTTTCTTCCCTGCTGCCCGTGCAAAAGCTAATAAAGCCGTGGATAAAAGGAACAATCTCAGTCGTGGTAATTTTCTTCACGGGGCGGATGCTAGCTGCCACAGGTTGTAAGACCAAGTAGAACCTCAGACAGCTGTTGGGACTGTGCGGGCTCGCTTCTCACTCCCAATTAACTCCTCCAGTTACGCGCAGCGAGTGCGCAGACTGTGAAACACGACGGGAGCTGCACACGGGGACCGGGGCTGCTCCTTTCTCACACAGAACCACAGCTTGCACGCCCTACCCGGCAGCTCTTCGCGCTGCGGGAAGACAAACCCTTTGCCGCCGAACTGCGAAGCGGGCTGTAGGACGAGCAGCCCGAGGGCTGAGGTGCCTCCTGCGTACGCCAAGCTGGCGCGTTAGCAGCGAGTAAGCTGTCAAGAGCGTTCGTGGGGTTACAGCCACAACCCACCCGAGGAGCAACCCGAGGGCTCTCTGCGCGCTCCTCCCAGCCTAGCCCGTCTCCCAGCCGCAGCATCTCCGAAGAGGAGTAATTCCTCAGCTACCGCGGCTTCTCCCCCTCTCCCCAGACAACCCGAGGGCTGCCTGACCCCCTCCCGCACCTCACAACCAGCCAGCCTAGAAGGGCGAGGAGTGCCGGCCGGGACGGTCCTCCCCGCTGCTGGCGACAGCCGCCTCACAGCCACACGCCTGGGTGCTCTCCGCACCGCCGGCTCGCAAGTTTACATAGAGAAGCCGCGGTGCCTCCCGCCCCGCCAAGTACCTCAGGGAGCCGCGCTGACAGGGGCCGGCTGCGCTCCCGCCGTCCTCCCCGGCCCCGCGCCCAACCGTCAATCAGAGCCCCAGCCCCGCCCTCCCGGTTACGCCCTCCAGCCGCCTGTTGTTGTTGGGGCTCTCCGCAGCTGCCGGGATGGGCGGGGCGGGGGCGAGCGGCCAATCAGGCGGCGGGGCCGCCCCGG